GGCGAGGAGTAGGGAGGCGAGGCGCGCCGCTGCCCGTCCGCCGCTTACGCGACCGCTCGCACGTCACCCCGCGCGGGGCCGCTATGCCGACGCATCTCACCGCGCGCTTACATTCGCCAGTAGGTTGGGCTAATACGGCGTTTTTTAAAATTTCGTATCTCGATAACTATTCGTCCAAGCGCAAAATAGTACAATACTTTTCTGTTTGTCTTAGTCCCCTCTACCTTCCCATGACCGGAAGTCAATGTGTTGCGTAGCACCCTGTATAATTATAACTTAGAACTGAGATCAGTGATCTACGTGTTACATAAAACAAAGGTAAGGTCGAGAACGCTATTTTCTCTTATTTATTTGCAACTAAACATTATACTATATTTTAGTGTAAGAATTCCGAAGAAACGTTAAGAAACAAAGATCGATTGCCCCTAACCTAGATCACTTTTGTTGTGCGTTATTAAAGATTGTATGTTGTGTATATACGGCTAATTTTTCATTATGGTTAAGAAAGACGTTTATTTGCAATTTGGAAGCCGAAGAAATAAATGTATTACATTTGAAAGCAACTCAGGAACTTCTGACTGGATTAATTTAAAAGATGTCATGCGACAACTTGCTGAGAAAGATGAAGACTTAAAGAGAAGAATGCAGAACTGCAATAATATTATTTTTCAAAAATATAAAGTTAAAAAGAGTACTTGAGAGAAAATATTAGTGGATGTGGATGAGGATGAAGAGCCTGGAATTGAAGATGAGGCAGATTTGGCTGTAGTGTTTTGTCACTTACAAGATATCATAAAGAGTCAAGCATCGGAGAATGAAATTCAAGTACAAAATGTTTTTAGCAAGCCATCTTCTAGTTCTTTATTCATAGATTTATCAAGTGATGTGCTGGAACGTCATGAAATTTCAAACGAAAAAGAAAATTATGATATGAGTACGCAAGGTGAGGTTGTTGGAGATTATATCTATGAAATAGATGAGAAAAATGATATAGTAACTGAACTCTTAAAGCCAGCAGAAAGTTCACTAAAAAGAAAACTAAATATAAAAAACAAACCAGAAAAGGTACTTTATTTTTATCTTATTTTGTTTATAATATTTAATGTGAACAGTATGCATTTATAATGTAAGAATTATAGTTGTTGCTAATATTCGTATAAGGAATTAGATACTGTTCTTTTTTCGGGATGTCATAATGCAATTAAGTCGTAATGTATTTTCGTCGAAATTGTTTTCTTATAGGCACATTCATATATGTATGATAGTTTGGTTTTTTGCACAGACTACCAAGAAACCAAAAGGATTGCCTTTTCATGTCCCTAATATGCTACCTCATTCTTTGGGCGAATATACAAAATGTCCAAATGGAGTTCTAAAGCATTCGTCGAAATTTATAAGACATTATGCTGGAATGTTAAGGACTCACTTAAATAATTACATCACAAAAGAACATTATAAAGAAATGGCTAAGATAATCGCGGATAGACATCCTATGTTGGCTGATGAAGGGGAAGATGTACCTTATGTATGTTTTTAGGATTTTGTATTATTTCCTTTTTATTTTTTCTATTTTATCATTGACATATAGGTGGCTTTTATACATTATTTTTTTAAATGCAGGGCAGCATTAGAAAGAGCTTAAGTGAATGCATTAGAAATATGAGAGCTCGGGAAAAAGAAAACTAACACAATTTGTTCAAGAAGCTAGCTCTTCTTGTATTGAGGAAGAAGATACGTCTTCCGTGTCAAATGCTACAATGGCATCAATTCCTGTTACAGAAAAGTTAGTGATCATGAGATCATACATATATTGTACATATTTTGTACATATATGTTTTCATTTTTGTTGTCTTTATTTCAGTTATTTACAAGAAACAGATACAGAGAAAAAAAAGCAGGAACAGATGATGGAAGAGTTGAAAACCTTAACTGAAAAAGTTGGTCTAACTCCTCATGTAAAGGCTTTAATGAAAGAAACATTTATAAATAGGAAAAGAATTATTGATAATTCGGATTCTATAAAAACAGTTGTATCCAACTTTCCTTTTCTTTTGGACACTGAAATGGTAAATTTATTTTTAGTTTAATTTATTATTAATCTTGCCCATTACACTTATTCGTTATACAATAAATGTTATCTCATATAATTGAATTTTTTAGATTCTTTTTGAATTCAGTTTACGAGTAAATTTAAAGGTCAATGACATAATTCAAAGAAATAATGCATTAATTATAGAACTAGGTTCTTTTTTAAAAGTACCTGAGGATACGAATTCTGAAAACAGAAAATTAAATATCTTGGAAAAACTGTATTTAAACTATAAGCCAAAGAGAACAGCAAAAAAAGTTCCGCAGCTGTTCACCGTGAAGGATGTAATATTTACATTATAATTTGCTTATTATGTAGTTTATTTTGCACTGTTTATACAAGACATTCTTGTCTGTTTCTACAGGCTTTGTCGCCCCCTGGCGACGAATTAGTCACTAAAGAAACTGAAGGTCCACGACTAGTCACTTATGTGGAAAATAATGTTATAACTGCTGCTTTTGTTGTTGCGGATGGAAAAAGAATTAAAATTAATAAGCCCTCTACCACTGAATCATGAAGAATAGAGATAAGGAGACCGAACTGACACGGAAAAATGTTCGAGAAACACGGCCAAATTGGTCGCTGGACTCTAATTTACTAATGCCCCGCTAGATAGCGCCTCCGTTTGACGGGACCCCACTGAAATATATACT